CAACATAAATGGCGCAAAGTAAATCACTATGACTACTGTATTTTAAATTTTGTGTTTTGTGAATATCAAAAAAACTGCCAAATCAATAAAGAAAATAGCCATATGTTTGTGATACAAATATTTCCTACATGTAAAACATGTGTTTAATTAATTAACAATACTGTTACTGCTATGGCACAAATACAGAGTACTCATATTTAATCCAGTTCATGTATGTGTTAAGAATTATGTTGTGTTCAAGTTTGTGTTTCAGATCATTCCATAAGCTAAAAGGCAGCCAAATACAATGATTTTAAGTTTTTGAATGATAAAGTCTATCTATGATAAATATTATATTAAACTTAAAATGGGGCACACTATCATTTAAAAAAATGAGGGGGACCCCAAAAAACCGGAATTTATTTATTAAAAATTGTGTATTCTTACACATTTAAACTTCTGTCATCTTCAAAGTACCCTTCATTTGATGCAATACATCTATTGAAATGCTTTTTCCACTGCTCAAAACGGTTTTGAATTCATCAATTGTGATGCCTTTTAGTGCTTCTGTCGTTTTTTTTGTTTCACCTCTTCCACATCAGCAAAATGTTTCCCTTTGAGGACTTTTTTCATTCGGGGAAACAGAGTCGTTTGGTGTGAGGTCTGGTGAATAGGGAGGGTGAGGGCACAAGGGTCATGCTGATTTTAATTAAAAACTACTGAACATTCAGCACGGTGTGGGCAGGTGTGCCTGTAAATCACCCATCGGCAAACGCATTGAAAGGATCCCCCCCCCAAAAAAAATCCACTGAAGCTGAATATAGCCTTTCACAACAACGCTAGCTGGTACACTGACACCAATGGATTCCTAGAACACTTACCTAGCGGGGGATAGCCTGTACTACAAGGGGCCCACCCTCCAAAAGATAATTTCAGGTTTTGGGGGTCTCCTTTCATATCCTCTAGTGGAAATTGCAAAGTCCATTTTCCTAAACCATTCAATTATTCCAAACAAACTTTTAAGAAATCGAGTGTGAAATGTACGGTTTACATTTGTTTTCATTTTAGGGCTTTTTGGCCACAGGCATAGCTGCATCCACAGCAGTTATCAACTACTTTATTATTACTTGCATTTATACAGAGGTGGTATAAATCACTGACTCAAAGAGCAGCGAAGGGGGACTTCTGAATTGTGCCTGTGAATCCATACTGGTCTACTCAATATTGGGCAATGCAACAGAAAAAAGCTACGGCAATTTTCAGCTTCCTCGTCTGCAAAAGGGAAAATAGTCTAGGGATGCCTTACCCTTGAAGAATATCATGCCCAAAATGTCTTATTCTTTTTGTTTTGCTCACCACTACATTCCTGGCCTGGCTCATGGTAGGGCTGAATGAATGAATGAACGAATGAATGAATGAATGAAAGGGCACAAGATGCAACTGCCTAATCCTCTATATTTGCCACAGGGGAACAGAATTTAACACACTCTATTTAATTGACTCTCACTGACTCACCTGCGAAACTCATTGCACTAAAAGACTATCCGGCCGGGTGCAGTGGCTCAAGCCTGTAATCCCAGCACTTTGGGAGGCTGAGGTGAGGGGATTGCCTGAGCCCACAGGTCCAAGAATAGCCTGGGCAACTTGGCGAGACCTCATCTCTACAATAAAATAAAAAAATTATCCGGGTGTGGTAGCACGCACCTGTAGTTCCGGCTACTTGGAAGGCTGAGGCGGAGGGATCGCCGGAGCCCAGCAGGCCAACGCTGGGGTGGCCATAAGCTTGCCACTTCACTCCAGCCTGGGCAACAAAGTGAGACCACAACTCAAAATAAAGTAAAATAAGAACAATTGGGGGGAAAAAAAGAATATCCAAGGACACCAAGTTTTGATTGATGTAACTATGTCACTGGGGTATGCGCGATATCATAAAACCTATTTCAAATGTGTTTGAAAAACCTCAACTTAAATGTTCCATTTTGCCAGGCATGGTGGCCCACGCCTGTAATCCCAGCACTTGGGAGGCATAGGTGAGAGGATTACCTGAGCTCAGGGGCTCAAGATCAGCCTGGGTTATTTGGTGAGATCTCATCTCTACAATAAAATAAAATAAAATAAAATAAAATAAAATAAATTAACTGGGCATGGTGGCACATGCCTGTAATTCCAGCTACTTGTAAGGCTGAGGCAGAAGGATCACCTGACCCAAGCAGGTCAAGGCTTCAGTGGCCATGATTGTGATATTCCACTCGTCTGAGCTACAGAGTAAGACTCCAACTCCAAAAAAAAAAAAAAGTTCCATTTCAAGAATACAGCCTTGTGCACATAGTTTCTATCTAAGTTTTCTACTGACAATGCTTATCAAAGTTGCAGATTGCTGTGGAATTACTAAGGGCAAACGATGCACATGACTTGCCAGGTTTCACCTAACCAGCATTTCCAACTAAGTTGATGAAAAGACATCTTGTCCTTCTTTATATTTCCTTCAAGAATCTAGCCTCTGTTTCTGTAGGAAAACAAGCTGGGAAAGGGTACAACTCTAGATATCTCTGCTCTGGATAGAAGACTGTGCTTTCAAACTGCACTAGGATTCTCTAGAGGAGGGTGACAGAGCCATAGCCTCCTACTTGAGCCAAAATGGTTCTGCTTCTGTTTTCTCTATTGGGGTTAGATCTAAGATTCCTTTTTTTAAAACAACTTTTAAATTTTTTAGTTTTAAAATCGTGGGGTACAATTCAGGGCTAGGTATAGAAATATTCATTGTGCAGGTACCCTTGTTGATGAGGTGTGCGCCCCCCCTTCCCCAGGCAGATTCCCACTACTGTCAATCCCACCTCCCTGCCCTCTCAACCCACCGCAGATTCCCGCTACTGTCAATCCTTTTCTTATAGTATTATGATAGTTGTTCAAAGTCTACTTATGAGTGAGAACATGTAATACTCAGTTCTTTGTTTCTGTGAAAGATCTTTTTTTTTTTTTAGTCAGGATCTCACTCTGTCACCCAGGCTGGAGTGCAGTGGTACAATCACAGCTCACTGCAGCCTCAAACCTCCCCAGCTCAGGCGAACTTCTTGCCTCAGCTTCATGTGTAGCTGGGACCACAGACACCATCATGTCTGATTTTTTTTTTTTTTAAAGAGACAGGGTCTTGCTATGTTGCCCATGCTGGTCTCAAACTTCTGGGCTCAAATAATCCTCCCACCTCAGTGCTGTGATTACAGGTGTAAGCCACTGCACCTACCCTAAAATTTCTTTTTTGAAGCTGGGTTTCTATCTTTTTAAAAAAGTTTGAAAGCAACCATTTTAGGTCAGGGCTGTGAATGAGAGTTAGACCTAAAGATGAAGATTCCATCTCCAGCAGCTGAGGGAAGATGCTGAGGCTTTCATCATCAGGCCAGTTTCAAGCCCTGGGCCATTGGAAGGACTTCTGACCACAACCATAATGGATAAAGTAGATAGAATTCAGATTAAACATTTCTAAAACTTTGACCTATGCTTTCTTGCTCTTTAAGGCTTAATATTTTTAGGCATTTGAATAGACATATTTTAAAATCTGGGAACAATTCTGCAGCAAGTAGACATAACAAAGGTGATTCTTGCCACCTAGTGACCATATACCCTAACTGAAATCTAAGTGCCTACACTGACCGTGTGACTGCATACAGGGGTGGGTAGGGTGGAGGTCAAGGCAAGAACACAGCTGGGTTCGGTGGCTCAGCCTGTAATCCCGTGCTTTGGGAGGCTGAAGTGAGTGGATTGCCTGAGCCCGCGGGCTCGAGACCCGCCTGGGCA